TACATGTTTTCCCATCATCTAGTGTCAAACCGTTACTCTTAATTATCCAAACCACATAATCTTATAATATTCATCATTTCACATCACAAGCAATTTGTAGTTTTCAGTAGTTAATTAAACATTGTCCACAAATTGTTTAACTCTCTATCTATAATATACCTCATGTAGTTCAAATACAGAGAATATTGGGGAAAGAAAACAGATCTAAATGAGGAGTATTTATATATAGTGACTTTTACCTAACAATCCGTTCCACTATACACAAAGCGAACAAGCAACTATAACATACTAGTAACCAAACAAATGGCCGTACATTTTTCAATTGTTCTACATAGTCCTAACAAACTCTGCTGGGTGTTATCACCTTAATTTAACTTTAGCCTTGATGATAAATGTTGTCTCTCTGTAGTACTCTGCAGTCGCAGGTAAAAGCTCCAGCTATAAGAACTTGGAGATCTTTTCCTCTCACTGTGGCAAAATTTTAAAATTTTTGAGAATTAAGCATATCTTCCATTACAAGGTAGCTGAAAAGTTAGATCATTGTTTTTCTTTGTTCCAGACTTCTCAAGTCTAGATTTGCGGACCGCATCTTGAATTTGCCTTTCATGCTCTTTGAGTATATCATCTATGTTTCCACCAGTAGGCATCAATGGTCCAGAGTAATGGATTCTGCTTTTCTTAGCTACATACCCCTGAACTCACAAAAGCCATTCCATGTCAATTAACATAACAAAGAAATGTAGGGTATTCGGACTTAAAAAGGATATGGGTGGGAGAGTGGGTTGGGGGGGGAGGGGTTGTGGATGTAGACGAGAGCAAAGTGAATTTATTTACTGTAACAAATTATGATTCTTCCTTTATAAGAAAAATCCAGAGAGGATCATGGATGAAAACTGTTCAGCAACATCTTTTGAAACAATGAAACCATAAATCATGAATGGAAAAATTATTATCTCATAATCATCAAGCCTGAAACTGCCTCAGAATTTTTTTTTCTTTCTATCGCTTGTTTTATGGGTTTTATGAGAATATCATAGCAGATTGTAGCTTTTAGGTTAAGATCATTTACGCCTATAAATGATTTTGCCGTTTATGATTGGAAAATGTTCTTTTAAATATGCCAATAAACTTGTTACTTAATACTCAGATGGTTGACATGCATAATCATTTTTGAACAAACTACTGTTGGCAATATATAATGCATACTGGTGTATGTTGTTTTGATAAGAAGATGCTGAATCGATATGTACGCAACTATTATAAGCCATTAAAGGATGAAAGAGATTCTATGGCAAATTTATTTCTATGGGACATACAAGGGTATTTGATACGTTACCATTGTAGGGTCTTTGTTTGATGCTCTGTCCTTGTGAGAAGAACCAGACAACTCTGCAGCCACATGAGGCAAGTTAGATATCTGTGTCTTCAACTCTGCTGTATTTGTTATAGGATCTCTGTTCTTATTCCACGACAATCCCATTGCACTAGGGTGAACCATAGAAGTCGAATGAGTATAGCCATTCCGGGTAGCTCCTCTGGATGGTTCAACAGTGAAGCCAGAGCGACTGGAATCCTGTGTCTTGAATTTTTCACTTGTACTTGTGACTTTTGACTGCGCTGAACCAATGAATTCTGGTGTTGGAACTGCCTGAAAATCTCTTGAACCCCGTCTAACAGATTCAGGTCCACGCCCTCTTACGGCCTCTGCTTTTCGCCTGAAGGCAAAATATAAAATGGATTTAGGTGTTTCCAATAATTTATTTAAAAAAAGAAAAGGCTTCCCAAAGAATCATTTATTGGTAGCAACCAAAGGTGCTCCTTGCAAATTTTCAAGACAAATAAATTCGTATGTGACACGTACCTTCTTGCTTCTTCATCTCGAAGCTTGGCATCCAATTCCTTGCTTGGAGGATATTTGGGTAAACTTGATGGATCACAAGGGAGCGGCTCCGTATTGAAGAACTGAAAAGAAAGGAATGGAAACACATTGAAGTTGTTGATGGAGGAAATGTTTCCCAACACAGAACAAAACAAAGTGCTGAGAACACATTAGAAGACCAAAGAGAAGAAGAGGAAGCGAATTATTACGTCACTTCTCAGGGCAGAAGTAGCTGATCCGCGATCCTCTGGCTCGATTGCTAGAAGCTTATTGACAAGAGCCAAAGCCGGAGAAGGGAAATTCTTGAACGTTTCCTTTAGAACTCGCTTGTAGGGATGTTGTGGTTTAAAGCTCGTTGCAAGTGGTAACTTTGTCTTCTGCCAGTAGTCCTCGGAAGGTGAACCACAAAGCTTAAAGATTTTGTGCATTTGCTCCACCTGGGGACCAATAAAATCAGAGCCTTTTTCCGAAAATTTTGTTCAACATGTGAAGAAACTTCCAAGATTCCGATGCACATACTATCACAACTTGTTACAGACTTGATTATCTCGAATTACATAGGAATATCCTAGCTTGTATATATGGAAGAGAATGTATTTACCTCTGTTCTTCCTGGCATGATAGGCTTTCCGGCAAACAGTTCTGCGAGAATACAACCAGCACTCCACAAATCTATGGCAACTCCATACTCGGTGGCACCAAGCAATAGCTCAGGTGCTCTATACCACAGAGTTACAACGCGACTTGTTAATGGCTGATCTTGATCAGGCTGATACAAAGTTGCCAAACCGAAGTCTCCTATCTTGAGAACCCCATCATTGTTGATCAGTAGATTTGAACCCTTTATATCACGGTGCAGAACACCACGACTGTGACAGTGTTTGAGTCCATGAAGCAACTGTTGCATGTAACATTTAATCTGCAATCCAATCACAAGCCTCTGAGTTCGAGATATCAATAAGAAGGTAAGCAAAAATGGCGGAAGAAAGAAGAAATTGTTAAGCAAAGTTTCATATCCATCTTTTCCCATTTCTAAATGTTCTTTGGGAGCCACAGAGTGATCTTATAACATAACTACATTCCTTCTTCAGGCCGAAAGAAGTATTTGGCAGTTTTACAATTTGTACAGAAGTGCCAAAATTCCTGGTGGAAAAGAAAGACATATACCTGTTGCTCGGTGAATTTGATGCCTGGAGTTGCTGCGAGGCCTGCAAGGTCATGCTCCATGTACTCAAAAACGAGGAACAAACTACATGACATCCTTGAAGCAATTAGACCCTCAAGCTTCATGACATTTGGATGGTCGAGTTTCCGCAAAATATGGATTTCCCTAGCCATGAACCGCACACTTTCTTGGTCCATATTGACAAACCTCACCTTCTTCAAAGCCACAATTTTGCCTGTTTGAAGGTCCTTGGCCTTGTATACACTGCTGTAAGTTCCTTGCCCAATCTGCAAATCAAACCCTTTCAAAATCAGCATATCTCATTGCATAAATCCAAAAAAGTTAGTAGTGTCAATTACTCGAAAGAACTTTATTAAGGCTATAGGCCTTGGTCATGCCTTGGCATCACCGAACCAAAGTTAAGGTTCAAATTGTATAACAAGTCAAGACATGTCATCTAAGCTGGAATCAAGAGATTTACTGAAAAATAGAAGTCCTTAGAACCTTATTCGGAAATTCGAACCTTTGTGCCTAGCTTACATTTATTTGCTTGCAAGCCAAGTCTAGGCTTAATTAAGTTGCTTGCAAGCCAAGTCTGAGTTCAATTTTCTTTAGGGTAAGATTGTAAGTTTATGTTTTATGTTCTGTAAATTCTTTACTTTCAGCAATCAGATCAGAGAAAAACTCAAAATCCACAAATAATTTGATCTCTAAGGAGCAATTATAATGAGAACTAATTACTTTGTCTAACTTCTCAAACGAGTCTGCCCGTCGAGGAACCCACCCTTTGATGGCATCTGCGGCCACTGAGGTCAACCATGATGGCCAACCGGCATTGACCAGTTCACCTTCACTGCTGTGTGGCATGCTGTTTATCCATGACAGTTGCTGCTGTTTCCTTTCCTCTGCAGCTCCCACATCCATAGTCGCCCATCGATGATGAGTTTTTGAAGGTCTTTCCACTATAATTGTTTTCTTGTCTCCCTCCTTCGCCACCAGAACAGCAGTTGGTGCTTGCCGCACTGAACAATCTTTTCCAGCAGCATTGTTAGTATTATTAACCAGTTTAATCACGTGCTCCTCCTCCTTTGACAGAGCTGGAGCAACCAACTGTACAGAGGATTCGTTGAGCACTTTGTTTTTCTCCTTCTGACGATCATCGTGAACAGCTTCTTCTTCTTCTTCTTCGGTTCCTTTTGAGCAAATGCAGCCCATAATCTAACGCCCACAACAATTTCCAAAAGCTTTTTAGGTTGCCAGTCCAGGTTTCATGATCAGCTACCTTATAAACCAGAAATATTTACAGAACAAAGCCACACTTTTGATATCTGATTAACATTGACCTAATGGGTATCCCTGCATCGCTGCTGGGAATCCCATTTGAACCCAGAAAGCCTTATCAGCTTCCTTGAATTTGCAGAACAATAATGGCGGATAGTTTCCCCTAGGGACAGCCCAAGAAAAAGATTGAAAAGAAGACAGAATCAGGAGGAAAAATCAAATGGGAATATCAGATTTTGTTGCAGAAACCTGTGAGGGAATTTACATGGAAGCTGAAAACCCAGACCAGAAATTCCAGCACTTGAAAATAATATTATGGAAATCAATCAAGAGTTTTTATTTCTGTGAATGCCGGAATCCTGGCCGGCTTTTTACAGAATTTTCTTCCCCTTTTCCTCTGCTATTAAGAAAATCACCTAAAAAGAAAAAGAAAATTGATTAAAAGAGAAAAATTGGGCATAATCGAGGACGGGGGCGAAGAAGGAGAGCCAAAAATTGGAAAAATAAAAAAGGTAGAATAAAAAAAAAAATAAAAGATTGAGAAGATTGTTGAGGAAAGGAAATGGAGGGTTGTTGGGGGCCTAAAACTGCGAGGAACCAAGAGATTTTTGGGATGACACAGCCTGTGTTCTTCAACTTATTTTCAACTCTTAATCTCTTTCTATCAACTGTATTTAAGTTTTAAACCGTGTAACTTCATATATTCTATATACACACACACACACACACACACACACACACACACACACACACACACATGTATATGTATGTATGTGTTTCTATATGCATACAATGGAAGTGATTAATGGAGGGTGGACTGGAAGTACAGACGTGCAGAGCATCATGTCCACGTAGTACTAACACTACTGCTGAATATTCCCTATTACGATTTGCCATCATTCGTGTAATATATATATATATATATATATATATATCATAAAATAGGAGAATTTTTTAACACTCTAAATAACTTTTTAATTTATGGTAATCTAAAATAGTTAAGGCCAAGTCCTTAATTAAATAGAATTAGGAATATGATTAATAGTAAAATTTGATTAAAAAAATAACAGTAAGTAATATAAAGTAATAGAATTTTTTTATTAATGAAAAAATTACTACAATTTTAATTAGATTTTATTTGGAAAGAATAAAATAAAAATAATGGAGCTTGTTTTTCTTTTTCTTAATTTTATCTCACTTGACTTTTATGATTTAAACAGAAATTATAAATTAATTGAATTTAATCAATAAATTTTTTTATTATGAATCTGATTATTTATCTTTTGTACAAACAATTAAGTAGAAATTTATGTATAATAATAATAAATATATAAAAGCTGAAATTATATTCCGTAGTCAAATAATATGATTAATATTCATTTTTACAAGTTAAATTTTTTATTTAAAAAAAAAAACAGAAATGATCAAACTCATCTAAATAACTTGATTTAAATCGAACAATTTGATTTTTATTAATTTTGACTGATATTTTTCGTACTTATAAAGTGTGTGTGTGTATATATACACGGTATATATGACAAAGAAGTGGGGTATATATGTAGCAGTAGACATGCAAGAACATCCAAAAACGTTTACATTCGTCAACAAACCAGCTCAATAACCACGCCACGTGTATTTACAAATCTCCCTGCATGTAATCTTCATCTTCTACCTCTCTTCTTCATATCCTCTTCCTTTATCCTTTCTTTTTTATGATCTCATCAAACCATATTCACATACAAAAACCCTTTTCATATGTAGTTCTGATTTGTGGGTCTCTGTGTGTATATATATATATCGAGAGAGAGAGAGAGAGAGAGAGAGAGTGTGTGAGTGAGAGTTGAATTTGCCGGGTGGTGAGTTTTGGAAGTTGGCCGGTGGGGATGGGGCTGGTGAACAGAGTGTTGGACATGGTGGTGCCGCCGGCGAGCTTAGTGATGTTGGCGTGCGCTTGGCCGGCTTTATGTTTTATCAGCACCTGCGAGTGGATTTACAGTGCTGTTTTCAGTGAGGATATGGAAGATAAGGTTGTTTTAATCACTGGTGCTTCTTCTTCCGTTGGAGAGGTAACCTTTCTCCTATATCATATGTATCTTTATATGTATGTATCTTTATATGTATATACCCACACAAACACACTGAATCTCCCTCTCCTGATGCACTGGGTCTGAATTAGTTGCTTTATATATATGTAGATATATATATATATATATCTCTCTTTTACCAGTCAAGGTTGTATAATTGTTTTTTAATATTAATAATTAAGAGATTAAAAATAGCATTTGCAGGTAACGTTGTAACTTTAAATTCATGGTGATTTTTTCTCTGTAAAATTGGAAAAAATAATTACAATAATAAAAATTTGATCAATGGAATTAAGGCCATAATTAGTCCTAATTTCATCCTTAATTAAAGTGTTTAAGGACACTAGTTCTATTATTGTTTGTGGTATTAAAGATTTGCTTATATACTTCAAGGAAGTATTAGGGTTTTACATGAATATAAATTAGTTGAAAGAAGCCATATTTTTAAGTTTTTTCAAAGAAAAAATTCATACATCGTTAATAAATAATACATAGATATTAATCATAAAATAATTAAAAAAAAATCTCTAAACGAAACAGAGATGAGAGCATAGCATGAATCGAATATAGAAACTATTGCTGAGGGAGGGACGGACTAACTGTAAGAAGAAACATACCAACCATTCACTTTAGTAGTGTTGGTAATTTTTTCAGAAATTGAAAGAATCCCTAATTAGTTCTTTATAAATGTTTTTGTGTATAAAATGAAAACCTAAGAGTAACTCAATCATATATAGAGTAGTCCCACAAATCACTTTATCATTTTTCGGTTTACTCTCTACTATTGGCTCATACTCTCGCGAACGGCTAAATTGGTGGGGGGAAAGATCAGGTTCACTCGATGTGCTTATGATGTACTGTTTGGGGGTAATTATACCAAGAAAATAATAACCGTGGTGGTGAATTTGCAGCAAATAGCTTATGAATATGCAAAGAAGAGGACAAATCTGGTATTGGTTGCTAGGAGAGAAAACCGGCTGAGAGGGATAAGCGAGAATGCATTGGAGCTGGGTGCAAAGCATGTCATGATCATAGCTGCTGATGTTGTCAAGGAAGATGACTGCAGGAGATTCGTTACCGAAACCATCAACTTTTATGGCCGCGGTATGTAATAGCTCAAACTTTGAACTTACAAAGTTCTTTCTTAGTTCTAAAAGAAATGTATATATGCATATACGTGATTTCATAATCAAAGATGGTTTTTACATCTCCGTTTTCATTATATTGACCTTATTAATTGTATCCATAATAATATTGATCCTATTTGTTATAATAAACATTAACTTTGACCAAGTACTAGTTTCGATAATTTTAACTTCATCATTCGATATTTTAATTGATGCTTAATTTTGAATTTTGTTATATTGCAAATTTCAGTGGATCATCTAGTGAATACTGCAATTTTGGGACATGCATTCTACTTTGAGGAAGCTGCAGACACCTCTTTTTTTCCCCGTTTGTTGGTAAGGCAAATGATTTTACTTACTATAGATACTCGAGTAGATATTTATTTCCAGTTCCAAACAGATCCTTATTTTGTGCTATAAACTTACCAGATACTTGGTTATAATTATCTTTTTTTGTACATCCAAAATTTTCAGGACATAAATTTCTGGGGAAATGTTTATCCAACTTATGTAGCTCTGCCTTACCTGCACCAAAGCAATGGCCGGATAGTCGTAAATGCATCAATCGAGAGCTGGTTACCTGCACCAACAATGAGCCTCTACGCTGTGAGTTTATAGAAATTAACATTGAAGCATTTCAATTTTATTTGTCTAATTCCGGGTCTAATGACTATCTGTTCAAAATTTCGTAGACTCAAATTATCAAGTTTTGAAAAGCTCACTTAAATTGTTAGTAAAATTAGTAGCCTGAACTCTTATTTAACAGTCACTAGTTATATGCTGATTTACTGAATACGATATAAAAATATCATAATTCTTCATAACCATTTTTCTCTCTGATAATAGGCTGCAAAAGCTGCCCTAGTCAACTTCTATGACACGCTGAGATTTGAATTGAATGATGAAGTTGGAATAACCATTGCAACTCATGGCTGGATGGGAAGTGAGATGACTCGAACCAAGTCTATGCTCGAGGCTGAGGGCAGTGAGATTCAATGGAAAGAAGGAACAGAAGTAAGCGATTTTCTTTATTTTGTATCTTAAGGCCTTAGGAAACATATTTTTCCCATTCATATTCATTCAATAAACTAAATATTTTATAAAGTCAGATCATTTTCTATTAACTTAAACTTCAAGAAATCTTAATCACACTCAAACTTAATTGTTTGGAGAACTTATTGTTTCAAACAATAGCTTTGAGCAGTGAAGTAAAGCTATACTTGAGATAAGATCAAGATTTTGTGACAAATTGGTAAATATGCATACGAAGTAAAGGTAATTGTAAAGAATTGATCAATATTACAAGTTTGAGAAAGATTCACTTTTGATCATTGGGTAAATACATGTATGAAGTAAAGCTAATTGTAAAGAATTGATCGATAATAAAAATTCAAAAAAAAAATTCACTTTTAATCATTTTTATATGACAACATAACAGTTTTTATTGTTATTTTAGACGCAGTTGATATGCGGCGGATACATAGAGGAGTTTGCGAGATTGATCGTATCAGGTGCTTGTCGAGGAGATGCGTACGTGAAGTGTCCGAACTGGTACGATGTGTTCTTCGTTTACAGGGTTTTTGCTCCAAAGGTTTTGAGCTGGACTTTTAGGGTGTTGCTTGCTATGCACGGAACAAGAAGGTCATCTCCTCTCATGCCAGGAGCCGGAAAGGGTATGCAGCCTCTGCTGGAAGGCAGCTCTCCTAGAAAACTTCTGACATCGCCGACGTCTTCTCAGTACAGTCCTCAATACAGTCCCCAACTCAGTCCTCAGCATCCGTTCTTCAAAATGGAATGATCAAGGGTCATGTTTTTTCATCTTTGGGTTTAATTTGTAAGTACATGATGAATGGATGTTTGTTTTTGTGACATTTAATTTTATATAATTAAGAGAAGACATATATATATAGAGGGCTTTTTTTCTATATATGTTGTTTTTCAATAAGAGGATTAATCCCTTTGTTTCAATTTCGATTCTTTTAAATTAATTTATTTCAAATTTAAACAATTTTTTATTATAGGTTTTATTAGAATCAGTAGAATTTAGAATATATTATTTCAATTTCATAAACAATTTTTTTTTTTTTAATTTTTGAAAGTCAAAATATGACTTATATTTTGACCGAGCTCTTTCACAAATGGCTTGTTCGTGGTTACGGTATCAAACTTGTCTTCTCGCCAAATCATGTTGTTCTTTATTTGGAGACCTCCTTTTTGAATTGATCCTTTTATATATATATCTATATATATATATATATACATATATACACACATATATATACACCCACAAAGACCCACGAGTGTATATCTATATGTAATACCTTTAATTAATTTTAAAATATTTAAAATTAGTTTATAAATATAATTTTTAAATTTTTAAATTTTTTATTTAATGTATAAAATTTAATTTTTAATTTTATAAATTATTAATTGATGTAAAAATGAAAAAAATTTAATAGAAAAAAAAATTGAAAATAATTTAAAAAAAAATTGGTAAAAATTTAGTTTTTAGAAATATTTTTAAAAGAAAATTCAGAAATTAAAGATCAAAATATAATTTAAAAAAATTGTGCACGTAGGATGCCAAGATCAGCAGATTCGACGAATCGGAGCGCACCGCATAGTAAGGGACGCTGATGCGGTGCCATGCGAGAGACCATGCTGGCGATCCGTGTACCCGCGATCGGATGGTCCAAATTCGTTCCCACACGCACGGACCGAATCTGTTTTCTCTCCAGACACAATCGAATGGTCAGATTTAAATGTGATGAACGGTCCAGATCTACTTTTTATTTAAACTCAATCGAACAGTTCAGATTAAATCACAATGAATGGTACAGATTCACTTCTTATTTAATCGTGATCGGACGGTTTAAATCAAACGCGATGAACGGCCCATATTAAAATAGAACAGATATAAATAACTATCTTTACACCAAATCCTAACTCTACCCGCCAGACCCCCTCCCCCTTCCTCCCCCTGCCAGAGAAGAAGACCCAGTCGCCGGAAGAAAGCCGACTGTCGCCGTCATTGCGCCAGAACCACTCCCGACCGCCAAAAGAGGTAAAAAAAAATGTTCTTTGCTCGAAATTTGATTTTAAATACCCTCATGGCCAAATCAGAGCAAAAGAACTGGCGGATTGGCCGAAAACCGCGGGTAAAGCCCGCCGCCGCCGCCGCAGAAAATTGCAAAACCCGTTTCCAATAGTGCCCTTTCTGATTTCCGTTATGCGTAATTTTTCCACCATTGTAATCACTGTTTCCTTCTCTATAGGTTGACCGAAGCAAAACACTCAACCGCAAATGTGAGCCAGCGGAGCCCCCGCACTAGAGAACCCCGCCGCCGGTAAGTTTTGATTTTTCAACTTTGTTTGGCTAACCGAGACCCCTTAACGTGTTTCTTCGCAATGATTGGTACAAAAGCGGCCCAAAACAGCCTACCCTAGGCAAACCGCCACTGCGAGCGGCAGTGTCGTCGCTGAAGTACGACGGAGCCGCCATGCAAAAATTTCAAAATTGGCCAAAAAAGGGTTCTTCACACTGATTTTGGGTTTTTTGATATATTTTTAGGTACTTAAAGCACGTTTTAACCCCGGAAGAAAAATTTAGAAAACTCAAGAACCGCTAGTAGACGCATTCAAAAGTTTAGCATTTCGAACATCAATTTGAGTAAGAATCTCTTACATTATTCTTATTATAGAATTGAAGTTTAATTAATAATAATACAGTATTTTGTGTAATTTAGAAAATATTCATAATTAATTACAAATTACTAATAAAGGCCGAACCGGAAGTTATTCACTGTCGATCATGTTAATTGATTTTACAGTTTGAATACATGATAATATCTGATTGATTGATTTTATAATTTGAATGCATGTATTGTTTGCCTTATGAGATTACAGTTAAATTGGAAAAATGGAATGCGATTGTATTACTTTTATGCATATTTTACTTGTTTTATGTGATTATAGTTAAATTGAAAAACTGAAAATTAAATGTAAACGAGAAATTGTTGTTCGAGTGGATTGATAAAATGGCAGCCTTACTGGATATCTTGGGAGATGGTGGACGAACTGGGTACATAGGGTATCCTACCGTAAACGTTGCCTCATACTGAACGGAGTATCGAGGTTTTGTAATTTGGCGCTCATATTGGAAGGGGTATGGGGACGGTTCGTTTCACTCTCATACCGGACGGGGTATCGTGATTTGGTAATTTGGTGCTCATACCGGACGGAATATTAGGACAGCTCATTAATTGAAAATATTAAAGAAAATGATTCACGTGTAATGGAGACATCTCTATGAACCCCTATGGATACCAGTACGCTGATAAAATAGAAAATTGTTGTTCTAGCCGATTGCATATGAAATTATGATATATGTTATATTATTGACTCTATAGGTTGTTTTTGTAAATTTCGTTGCAGTAGGTAGACGGTAAATGATTTTATTTATTATAAACAAATTTACTTAAATCAATAGGTCCATTAGTTGTTTTTATGATTTCTACCAATCTTTATTTTTATATTGGTAAGTAACGTGATATTCTTATTGGGTTAGTATAATTCACTCTTTCATTAACCATTTCAGATCAAGAGAATCAGGATCCAGAACTCGATCCACAAGAGAGTTGCGAGTAGCACGTTCAATTTGTTTACTTTTAACTTATTTCTTTAGTTATTAGTTGTTCTTTTAGAATGATCATTCTCGTAAGTCTCATTTAGTACTTTCAATTATTGTACAATGAATGTAAACCCTTAACTATTTATTTTGCTTAAAATTTTCTAGATGGTTACATTATAGATGTATAATTTTGAAAAAAAAAAAACCCAAAAGTTTGAATCCATGTTGAAAGAGTAATACAACTTAATTTTTTATAAATTTATATATATTTTCATGTATAAAATAAAATTTTAAATCGATTTTTATTCTGTATTTATTCAGAAACGTAGTACATTTTCTAATATTAAGGTTTATTTAATTACTATATAATCATGTAATCATTAACAATGAGGAACAAAATTTTGTTCAAATTGGTAAATCAGGTTTATTTAATTAAGTTGGTTAACATAATAATGTAATCTAACTAGTCAAATTGACTGAGTCAAAAGGTTGACCCTCACATTCATTTCTGCATAATGATACGGATGTCCCCACACACACATCCGTTTTACTCAATGAAATATTTTCAGTACAATTGATTACTCTTTTAGTTTAATTAATGATTACATTAAAACTAAAGATTTACCCCAAAAAATTCTTCACTACAATTGATTATTTTTGTGGGTGTGTATATATATAGGTATTAGCTAGCTAAGTAATAAAATTTAAGTATATGTATGTATAATTAGAAATAATCTTCGACAGAAATGCTCAAAGCTTCCCTACCAACAGTCACCTGTTCATGACTCGCCGCCTCCCACAACGAATTCCGACTACTTTCATCGTCGACCCAAAGCTCCGTCGTCGTCGACGGCGCCAGTCCATTAACAACCATCCGAGCGTCCACCGCCATTGCAGCATCCGACGCAGCTCTTTGTACCGACCTTGGCGACAACTCCCCGTTGGCGCAAGCAGCCGGCAGCGACGTAAGCGGGAAGTTGAGAGCTTCGAATGAAGAAGGGCGGCGAAGACAGTAGTAAGCAATGTCGTGAGCAACGGCAGCCGCCTCAGGCGTCGAGTAAGATCCTAACCATAGACGTTGTTGGGTGCCCGGAACCCGGATTTCTGATACCCATTTTCCCCATCTCCGGCGACGGACTCCTTTGTATTTCTTGTGATCGCGGTCGCCGTGAGCAGCAGAATCGGCAAGTTCGTAGGCTTGGACGTTGCTCATTTTTCGGCGAGTAAGAAAATTAATGGGTGCCGATCGATGGGTGTTCTTGTTGGGTTTTGACTGGTTTTGCGGGTTGTTTTGGAGTGGGATGTTTGGAGTTGAAGGTGTATATATAGGTTGAAGATGAAGAAAGTCAAACGAGTAATAATAATTATAATAATAAAAAAATAAAATAAGTCTACGAATAGGAAATTCAAGAAATTAGTCGAAGGTCAAAGATTGTTAAAAGTAAGGAAAAGACAGAAAGGAGGTAATATTATTATTAATATTATTATTATTATTATTTAATTAATTCACAAAATATATATTTCATATTTATTTTTGTTACATATAAAATATTGCATTTTATTAAATTGAAATTGAACACTTTCTAGCATGAAAATATTGAGTGTGTGAGTCAATTATAAGGTTCTGATTATTTCTAAAATTAGATTGTAGAAATTAATTTTTTTACAAAATAAATATATATAAATATAATTTTAAGTGACTATGAGCATATTGTATTTGTATATAATAAACCCATGGTTAATAATGTTAGGGGTAAAAAATATACGTGCATTGACCACGTGATAATGAAGTAGACTAATTTGCTATATTACACAATGCATGACGTCACGGACGAAGTTGACACGACCTCGTGACCCCACCGACAACCCCATTTGGGGTGGGGTGGGTTGGGGGAATCTCTCAATCATATTATTTTTATAATTATATTTTTGTTTCCTATAACAAATTCTTTTCATACTTTTTTAATATTAATTTTATAAAAATTAATTTTTATTCATTTTGAATAGGATTAAAACTAAACTGAAATAATTGTCTGAAAAAAAAATTAAAAGGTCAGAATGGGATGGGAGATATGCACATCTCTCCTTTTAGGTTTTGACTGGTGCCAATTTGGAAAAGGAAAAAGCAATCAACATGTGGTTAGTATAAAAAACCTGATGACAAATAGTTAGATTATGAATATTGAAAAAACTTTAGTTTTGGATTTGGGTTGACCACGAGCACATTCTATTCAACACATCACCACCACCACATGTTGAAGGAATGCATTGCATTTAAGTAGCAGCTATTCCTATTGCCTGCAACCTATAATTCAAAATAATGGTATTCAACATTATTCATTCAAATATTTTTAAATAAAACATATATCCATTCCTAACAAAACATAAATAATCTCCAAATTAAAATAAACACCCACTATAATCACAACCTCATACAAGTTAAAAGAGAGTTAAACAGAAATATATGAGGTGTTGCTTTTAAGTTCAGCCAATAAAACATTAACTATAACTATCAAATTTTTAAGCATTATTTTTATTTGGAGATTGTTAAAAAAAAAAATGAGTACCTATATATAATATTGACAGATTAAGACTACAACAATATGTTGTAAACCAAAATGAACTCAAGCTAACTCACAGCACAAACCAATTCAAAAAAACCAGACATGCAGATTGCAGGGGAGATAGAGTGATGCTAATAACTATGGCAAGAGACTGACAGATTCAACCAACAAGAAACCAATAACAATTTCCTTCCATAACAAACAAAGCACAACCAAATTCTCTCCGCAACGCAATTCATTGTGATTGATGGCTCATCCTTTCGGAAGATAGCTCTTTATAAACCATGACCACGCTCATAAATGCTTGTTATCCAAGAGGTCATGAAAAATAGCGTACAATGGAAGGAAAAAAAACAAAAAACAAAAGAAACAAAATCAGTTAGAGAGATCTAGTTTCGAGTTCAACCCATGGTTCTTAATAGTTTGAGATATGGTAGTACCACGTTCAAGTATGGTTATGTGGTAAATGTAACTTGGGTCTTCCATACAATTTCAGTGTGGGGTTTATATGAGTTTAGATTCTCCTATCATAATAGCTAGCTTCAAGGATGTGGTTCTTCTTAACTCATATCAAATATCCTAGTCTGACATAACTTAATCAAATAATCAAACACTAAACAGTCTAGTGTAGCTTAGGCTGATTTAGAACAATTGAAATGAAAACGCAGGCACAAGTTCCGACAGATAAATTTGGAAATGATAGATACATACATATAGAGACACTTTTAATAAGCTGAGGAGCAGATATAACCTGAATACATATAATATAAGACTTTCTGAATCTATAGAAAGAAATGATAAAGAGAGTTTTCCTTTCCTCCTTTTTCTGAGAAAAAATTTAAGGGTTAAACTAACAAAAATGGCAGTCAGAACAATGCAAAACTTCTTTGGGAGACTAATGTAACATAAATGAGTTACAAAATCAAACTCAAAATGCATATTGTAGCTTTGTTAGATAGACAATGTATGTTTTAAGATCTTTAGAATCAGAAAGGGTGTCAAATATGGTAAAACACCTGTATAAAGCTACACCATTTCGAATGACTAGCTATTCATAACCATATTAAGTGCCCAAAATATAAAATCAAGCAGTGAAGAACGTGAAATATCATGGCTTAATCAATGCCTGTCAACCGAACAGAAGGTATTAAGCATGAAGCTTAATAAAAAACAACTAAATAAAAACATTAACAAATCAAGGAGGTAAAATTTTTAGTGAAATATACCATTACCCATATGAACAAACTTGAAAGATTTGAAAATATTATATACCAAAACATATTGTCACTAATACAGAAACTTACCATCCTATGTATCAGAGAGACTTATCTCAACATGGGAGGAGAATCACGACATCATACTCTACTTGAAAGCATTTGTGGCAGCATACAGGAAATCAAGGAAGCCTGTACCCTTGAGTAGGCCTTTACCAGTCAAGAGTTCAAAATCTAACAGTAGCAAGAAGCCTATCACAGCCGCCTTCCCATTTATCAATTCGTTCTTTCCCGAGAAACCAAACCCCTCAAGATTCTCATCGACAACCATTTTCACCTGAAATAAGGACAAAATGCATGAAGGCGTAGTAATAACTCTAAAATCTAGCAAGTTCAACTCTGTTCCAATACTAAGTCTCATTCTTAATATCCATGATGGTTTGAATACACGTGTTAATAATATAATCTTTTATATTTTGAGTTCCCCACCTCAAAGACACAAATTCTTGAGGGACAGCACTTTATTTCCTACTTTTAAAAGAATTCAAGGTGGGATCCGACATCTCCAACCTAAATGCAAACGGGAGAAGAACTAAACCAAACAAACTGAAATTTTTGAAGAGGGTATTTGGGGCTGCTTATTAGCAATCCAAATCAATTTACAAGACTTGTTTGCCAAACTGGAAGAAAGGCTTCTAAGAAACAAACAAGCAGGTGATTATAAGATTCTCATCAACCACCATCTTCACCCAAAACGGAGACAGATACCTCCAACTGGCTAGTTTTATGGAAGATGATCAACCAAAAAAAGAAAAAGAAGATAAATGAGTTATTATTACCTCCTCCACATTAACATCAGTTGAAGTAAGACCAGGCTGAGCTTTGCCGCTAAAGACAATCTCCGCAGATGCATCAGATTTTACACCTCCTTTCAAGCTGATGTAAATATTTTCTTCATCAACCTTTACAGGATAAATATAAAGCGTCCTCAAAGCAGGGGTGAGAACTCTGAGAACTGGGTTCTTAGGATACCATTCCCGAATAGCTCCCGTACGAAGATCAAATGTACTATCAGTAGTTGGACAAACTATACATCCATCCTAAGGGAAAAAAAAAAATGCACTAAATCCTCAGCCATTTCCATCGCAGAGGAAAATCTTCTGCATAATTAAAGCAACAGAGAGGGAGATATACAAATATATATATATATATGTATATATAGAGAGAGAGAGAAAGAGAGAGAGAGAGTAAGAGGGAGGGAGAGATGAAACCTGAGTGAGTTTGGCATTGAGGAGACCTTCAGTGTAGGCACCCTCGGCGGGAGACCTATTTTCAATCGCGAAGACCTCGTCCTTATACCAAAGCAGCAGAATCGTCTCGCCGTCTTGGATAATTACTCGGCGTTCTCCCTTAGGAAGCGCGGAGAGAGGCACCACGGGCACCCAGTCCTGTCCGCCGCCGGGAGACGCAGATTCCTCGCTCAACGATACCTCCGTCGCCTTGCAGGAGACTGACAAGGCGTGTCTCGGAGGGGTGAAATTGTAATTAAGAGGCAATGCCGGGGCGGAGTGGAAAATTGAACAGTGAAGCGGCGAAAGCGATTGGCGGCGGCGAAGGAGTGTACGGGAAGGGATAGAGTAATTTCCAGGAAGTGAAGAGAAGGCGGTGGCCATGGAGGATTTCAGGGAGGGAAGTGAAGAATAAGGTTAGGAAGGTGAAAGAGAGGGAGGGCAGAGCGTCTGCATGGCCTGCTCCACACAAAAGTGGATAACGATTTTCTTCGGGAGGAGAAGAAGGCACGGACGTTGTGACGGGCGCGTGAGAGCCACAATATTTTGCGGCTGAATCTATACAATTTCTCCAATACTTGGCGGGAATTTCGGTTACTGAGTTTTATCAAATACTTTCGCATTATTACCTCAATAAGTAAAAAAAAAAAAATTAATCATTCTCCACTTTAAAATTTTTATTTTTATATGAATAACTTTTACAACAAATATTTGGATTTACATACATACGTAATTCACATAAATGTGCTCTTTAACTCGAAACAGAAATATAAGTGTAACAATTATTTTACAATCATTTCAAAGTATAGTTTTAACATAATTACACATTTTAGGTAATTTTTCTCATTAATATATATATATAAAGAATTGCTTTTCCCTTCTCAATTTTTCTCTTGTATCAATCAGTGGTTCTAGCATCTATTACATCGAGATGCCTGTAAAGCCCAGTGGTTAAAACTGAATAAACAAAACACTTAATAAAAGGAAAAATGATTTACATACTACACTTACAATACAAGAAATTGAATTAACAGAAATCTGTGAGTAACTCAGCCACACCCTGGCGCAATCAGGATTTGAGTCCCTGGAAGGATGATGAAAGAATCCTGAACAGCCCATCGGGGTTATCAGCATGCACCTGAAATTATTACAAGAATTACAAAGAGCTTATCAAGTTTCAGCATATTACTTCTATTATATTTCCACATGAGCTCCCCCTAGATTTTGGTACTCCATCATCAAATTATAAGTTATTGAAAACTGGAAAAAGATACATATATCTTTCAGCAAAAGAAAAAAAGGGCACCGCGATAATCAAACAAGCAGTTGAATCTCAAGCTTGTGAAGATAAATTCAAATTCTTCAATTTGCTTACTGTTGCCTCTTTCAGGAAACCTTTTGCAATCAATAATTAGCTGACTACCCTAAGCTCATACAATCTTACATGCTCTTACTTCTCTCCAAATCATCTGCTAGCTCAATCAAATAGCCTAAGCTCATACTCTTGCATACTCGTACATTCCTAAAGAAGCCTCTATTACAGGCTCCAACTACCCGCGTCTCCAGTCCGATCTGTCCAAATTTGATTTTCTGGTAATGAAGTCCGATCTATCTTTTACTGCAGTAGAATATATCAAGCTTGCCACCATCGTTTTAGCTAGACTCATTTGCTTAATGCATTTTTTCTTAACAAACAATCTTTCATTTTAACATACTGCAACTACCTTCAACTCGGCTGCACTATTTCATGGGCATAAAATATCCCAGTTGTTCTCTGTAAGAATAATTGATATTCAATCTTCTGAAAAGAAAAAAAAAAAATGATACCAATTTATTGACTACTCTTGAGAACTTCCAAACTGTTACTCCATCTCTATCTCGATCCTTAGTCCCTTGATTCCACTATTGTTATGCTCCACATATCCTAGTTTACTTCCACGTGATAAACCAGAAGCTCAGTTTTTTCCTTGTTCCAATTTTGGGTCTAATCTGCTATAATCGTATGGTTATTTTATGTGCATGTGTATCTAGAGACCCTAAACTGCTACTAAATGCCCCTATTAGTCTTTTAGCAAAAAGAGAGTTTGATTTTTTTGGAAAAAAAAAGAAACATTGAAATATGTTAACAAATTTATGATAAAAAAATAGTGAAGCTAACGATGAATGTAACATACCCAGTGACCAGCATCTTCAAGGACATGCATTTCAACTCCACCACCCTCATCAGCAGCCAGCTCTTCAGCAGCATGAATTCGCTGGAGATCTTCAAGTGCCCATCGATGTAAGCTCCTCTCTGCTTTTAGAAAATTGATATGTACACCTCGAGGCAGATTTTCCACAAAATTCCTTCATCATTCAATCCCAAGAGAGAAAAAAGAAAAAAGAAGCGGAGTGGACAGAGAGTATGTTGTCAGCTATGATTCTAAAATTCTCTCTGTGGAAACAAACATTTTAAAATAAGAATCTCATTCACTTCTAATGCTTTCTTTTTCTTGATTTTCCAGTAACAGAATTTGAACAAAAAAAAAAAAAAAAGAACACTTGAGAGCACAATAACCATTGTAAATTTAGATGAGTGTAATCAGAAATCCATGCAAGATTACCATAAATTTGTATCTTCATAGGACTTGTACATTTCAGCAATTCCATCAAGGTCAAACATCCATGAGAAATTGGATAATGATGAGCCAGGAAGACCTGTTGGTCGCAGATTAGTTACCACCCACTGGACATTAAAGACAAGGATGCCAAAAGTAAGCTTTTGATGGAAAAATATATGTTAAGAGGAGAACATTAATATAAACTAATAATTTGATTGTATGACATCCAATATTTTCTGGAATATGAGACAGGAAGACCTGTTGGTTGCAGGTTAGTTACCCCCCACTGGACACTAAAGACAAGGACGCCAAAAGTAAGATTTTGATAGCAAAATATATGTTAAAAGGAGAACATTACTATAAACTAATAATTTGATTGTAAGACAACCAATATTTCCTCTTATGAAACTATTTTTGAACATTATCAAGAAATCATCTGAACAGTGAAAGAAGCCCAACATTGTAAAAGTGAAGCACATAAAATAAAACAAGTGCAAGTCAATCATGTTAGAGATCACTTGATCCTACACTATGCTCAATTTCAAGATAACCTCAAAGTTACCTCCTGCTACAGATGTGTTGGACAGGAAGAAAAAAATGCATGTACCAGAAAGAAAGCAATATGCAAATGTAAATAATTGTCTTCAACGCAGAGGGCATTTTTTTTTTATCAGAAATTTATTTCATGTACTTCCTTTCATCTGCAAAAGTCCACATTTCCCAATCCACAAGCATTAAAAGGCAAAAGATGACCCAGTCAAAATGGATACCCTTTTGTTAATGAACCGTGTCATAAAATTAGTGTACAGGGATGAAATAAGAATAATGGTAAGTATATAAAGAATCCACTGAGACATCTAAACACATCTTTTGTTAATGAGTCTTCCAAAAAAAGAACATCCAGAGACATGTTAAAACAGCTTCTGTTATTAGTCTTCACCCTTCCCATCGCATTGACCAAATAAATCATATAATTTGATGCAGTATAAATGGGTAGAAGAGAGATAGATGATGCAAATATTGAGCACTCGTGACTCCTTGAACCCAGTTCAGTTAAACCTGTCTTGACATCTCAAACAGGAAAGGGGCTACAAATTCTCCAAACTTGAATGGGACTCGCTGATGTCAGGACGAACTCATATTAATCACTATGTCATTCCTGAGCAACTTTGCAAGAGATTACTTAATAACTTCCTGCATGTAACTAATAAGCAAGAGCATATATAATTGATTGGAAGAGAAACTGATTCTGAGAAGCAGCAAGCATAAAAGTAAAAAGGTGTAAACAAAAAGAGCACCATGCTCAAAGCCTACTTCAGAAAATGTTTCACCGGATAAGTTTTAGTGATTTTATAAGCATTGATCTCATTTTAAAAAGAAATAAACACCAATTATTATGTTTTTTAATCAGCAGCAAAGAAGAGTGTGATACTCCATGTTGTGGACCATATTCTCATTTGCACTAAGAGGACAAAATGTGAATATGCATGTATTTCTCATTCTGACCAGGAGATATAATTTTCTCCTTAAAAATTTAACTCGGCCCCAGTAACTGTGAGAATCACTGCCAGAAAGAAACTAATAGGAGGGTAAGACACGTCCCAGAAAGCGTGAGCAGAAAATAAAAAATGTTCAGGCAATTAGGTATATTCCAAGAAACCATATACATATATATCTTCATGTAACAGACATCATCAAAGCAAGCCTATATTCACACACAACCACATATGGCTAAGAATCTTTTAAGGGAATTTGGAAGATCTAAATTATAATAAAGAATTTTAAGTTTTTCACTTTAACCCGGCCCCGTAACTGTCAGAATCACTGCCAAGAGAAACTAATAGGAGGGTAAGACAGGTCCCAGAATGCGTGAGCAGAAAATCAAAAATGTTCAAGCAATTATATTCCAAGAAACCATACATGTACATATCTTCATGTAACAGAAATCATGAAAGCAAGCCCATATTCACACACATCCACACATGGCTAAGAATCTCTTAAGGGAATTTGGAAGATCTAAATTATAATAAAGAATTTTAAGTTTTTCTTTTGTTGGTATGGCAAGACTGACATGCCACCACTTGAGACAGAAATGAGAAAAGAGCTACTGCCAGCACCTGCCTGTCAATAGTCTGAAATGCATTGCCATGTGAAAGACTTCATTATATATATATATATATATATATATGTATATGTATATATTGGAAGGAGCAAAGAGTTCATAACTTTGATAAATGAATGCGCGTGTGTGAAGTATACCTGTGCCACATCCTTCGAAAACCCTTCTTGAACAAGTGCATTCACAACATCCCGCTTTGAAGAGACCTTCCTTAAAGAAAGCTTACAACAGAGTTATAGCCAGTCCCAGCAAGGGAAATTAAAAGCATTGTAAAGGTTAACTTCAAAAAATCTATTAGTCAAGATCAGAATAATTCATTCCAGCTAGGCTAAGTTAACTGAAGGAATGTTAGGTCCATCATAATGATAGGATACACCAAATAAAGATATTACAGCGAAGTCAAGTTTCAGATGACACACAACATATCCAAGAACAAGAGATTATTAGCACTAACCTCGTTTGGCAAGTCCTGTAAAAAAGATATTAGTTCTGCCGGATGGTCCTCCCCATCTCCTCCTGCTCGAACTTTCCCAGGAGTGGCATCTAGAACCCAAACCTACAGAAAAAACCCACATGAGAAGAATTTAGATAAGCATAAGAGAAACAAGAGCAAGAGTAAAAATAATTGAAGGAATTCCTATTTCCTTCATTTCCTTTAATTTTTCAAGCTTTGGAGTATTACTTGTATAGCTACCTGTAGAAACTTCAAAAGTCAAAGTTTACTTGAAATTTTAAAACTGAAGTTCCTAACCTCCAGCAAAAGTAACTATAATTGGCATTTTGATTTTAACCAAATATCAAAACGTAAAGTCATTAACTATATTAAACTGGCAACAATCATACTTTGACTGGTCGTGCAAGAGGCTTTGCTGCCTGTTCCACCATGCTCAGCACAACTGCATAGATAATTAGGAAGCATGTTGAGCAAGATTGAATCAAATCATATTTAAGTCAACCATCAGCTATCATGTCCTAATCACACAGCATATTAGAAACACGGTAAATCAACAAAAGTACCTTTTCCTCCAAAGCTGTGTCCAACTAGGATTCTAGGTGTTATTCTAAGTTTTCCAACCTATTCAGAACAAAGAATGTGAGAAAAAAAACTTTCAGACAACAGAAGTTTCTTACTTTTACTCAAAAAAGGAACAGAAATATCTTGCGTAAGAGGGAGGAAGATAATCTCAACAATATAAATCAATACCTCTTTCTTTTTTTGGTATGTTGAAGTATGCAATAAAGGCAAAAAATTTGGTTGAGACTTGAAAAAACTATTCCAAATGATTGTGGTCAAATTTCACACTCATAACTTAACTGAGTAATTATTTTGTGAAAGCATTACCCAGAAGCAGCCATTTTCATTTAAGTTAACAATATAAAGTCACTAAAGGAAAGCAAGTGAAGGAAGCGAAATCTTTGCTTAGTTATCCTTTTCTACAGAAAAGCAATCCTAGCTCAGAAATCCCAATGACAGGGCTGCTTTTAATATTAAAATAAAGTGTTTTAGCGACATTATCAATATGGAATATTCCCAGCATCGTAGTAACTACTATGTGCAAATCATTAATCAGTAAGGCACACAACAGAACCTTGGAAAAATAGGCCCCTCAATGATTCAAAGGGTTGAAGGTTCTGCCTAAAGTCTGCTTTAAGGAAGGAAGAAGGATACAGTAAATATCAATTTTATAATGGCAGTTTGATACATAAAAATCAAAATGATTTTGTTTCTTCATAACACCCTTATAGAACAAACCAGCTTGTATGACGAAAAAAAAAAAAAAAAGAAATGTCAAAAACAAAAGCATCCATATCCAACATCACAAATATGTAACTGATTAATTCACAACCACCACCAAGTTTTACATAC